TATATTCAGAAGCACAATTAGTTACAATGGCATTAACTCTGATTCCTTCTTTTTTTAGATCATCAAGAATATTTTCTGCTTGTCATTGCATATTAGGCTATTTTGTACATTCTATTGATATGTCTTCTGCATTCCAGACAGAGATTTTACTAGTTGAGATAATTAAAACACATCCAAAAATTGATTTCTTTTTAATATTTTTCCAGCTATCATATGCTAGTATGATACTATTTGTATCTTGTTAAGCTGATTCTTTAATTAACTTTGCTATTTTATATGCTGATTCTGCTAAAATTTGGCCACCAAGATCTTGTCGTGAAGGTAATTTAATTAGCAGATAGAGAAATTTAAATACTTCTTTCATCTTAGAATTTACTATCCAAGAAAAGAAATGCCACATAATATAGTTGCCTTAAGTAAAAAATTCTCAAAGTATATCTGTTGACTTTTATTTAAAAGGTACAAACAGTAATGATCAATTTTAATTTTTTTATTTGGGAACTAGTTTTCTAATTTAAAGCTAGTTGTATAATTTTCTGAAAAAGAACTTTCTGAACTAGTACCAAAATTATCAGTACTTTCTTGAGTATCTAAATTAAAATGTATAAATTAAAAACTATTTATTGTACAAAATACAAATATTTTTAATTAAATTACATTATGTTTACAATTAGTTACAAAATCAAATTCATTTGGTTTTGTTAGAATTTTTGCTTTTTCAAAATCACTATATTCTTGTTGAAAATATATACAAGTTTTTATGTGCCAGCAAACAAGTTCTTGTGTATTTGCAAGCTTTTTTACCTCTTGAAATGAAGAACCCAATTCACATTCTTTGCAGACACAAAACTTGTTACTCTTATTCACTTTTTCATCAAGCACCTGACAGACGATAGGGTTACTTGCCCATATTTACATTCAGATAAAGAGATAATGCTTCTTTTTCAAATAATAATCAACTGTTGTAATATAAATTGTGTATTAAATAATGGCTTTAGATTGTTTAAAGGTAATTAACTGTGCTATTATTTGATATTTAATGTTAAAAGACATGGTAATTTTATGTTTAGAACAGGCTATTCTATATGATGATATTGTTTTTAATTAATTATATAAATTAATCAATTTTATTGTTTTTTTTTTCTTTTTTTTTTCTTGAAATTGACTATTCCTTTTTTATACTGTTTTTTTTTATTTTATACATCCATAGCACTAACTATACTGTATCAGCAATATTGGTGCATTAATAATACATATAATGACTTATACTATTTTGGAATACACCATGCATCATCTTTTCACTTTCTATATCATTTTTTCCTATCTAATATATCATCTTTTTCTGCCTTTTCTTTTGAATTCTTGTATTAATAACTATTTAGAAAAAAAAAATTCATTATAAGATTCAGATCAGATTTTATGATTAGATTAAGTTGCAGATGACTTTACCAAATTCACATTAATAATTTGATATGTTCGAAAAGTTATAATACAAGTATTTATATATATTTTTTTGCATTACACTTGATTTTGAGTCAGCAAATGCAGTAGGTTAATTTTCTAGTCACGTGTTTATATTTGATTGATAAAAATATTATATGAAACAAATTTCTATTTTTACTTTGATTTGGACATAGACATGATTTTGATTAGTCCATGTTCATATTTGTCTATATTCAATTAAAATTTCAATTAGACATAGTCCAAATTACAACCCTGGTACTTTTTTATCTTGGTTATTGCACAGGATTGTATATTAGACACCATGAAATAATAAAGTTATTGTATGGATATATAAATAACTATGACCTTTGACTATAGTTATTCACTATATACCTATACAATAACAATTATTAATTATCTAATTTTAGCATATGACTATTGAGGGAATCTACTGTATTAAAGAATAGAATATTAAAAATAATAAAATTTTAGTATTTATAATAAATTTAAATTTTAACAATATTTATTGTTAGGAATAATACTGAAATTAGCTGATGCTAAAATTTAGAATCACCATTTAAATCTATAATATCTACTAAAATTTTCATATATATTTTTACTAACAATATTATATATAAACTCTAATCTAACTCTAAAAAAAAAGCTTTAATAAAAAGGTCCAAAAATTTTTTAAAATTTCATAATAAAATAGCTCAAAATTTTAGCATGTCCAATTTCAGCATTATTCCTGACATTTGTTAATTTTAATTATTTAAAATTTATTAGATAATAACAATCACA